TGTGAGATCCAACAGTGAATTTTGGAGATTTAAACAGTTTTCCAGAAGAAATTAAAAAAAAGTGTACTTTCTCCAATTTTAGTGTCTGAGGGGCAGAATTGTGTACTTCACCTGTGTCCCAAATGAACAAATTCCAAAGTACTTTAATAGAAAAATAAACACATACAATCTCTTTAACCTGTTTGCCAACGGAAGAGAGCTGCACTGCAGTTCCCCAGTTGGCAAGCAGGGCCTCTTCATCCCAAGACTAAAGGGTTCTTTAGCTAGCTGCAAATATTGCCTATAAGGAAGCTGTCTCTAAAAACAGGTACATGCAGTTCCTTAAGAACAGTGTCAGTGCTCCCTGTTGCCTTCTGGATCCTGACACTTGAGATCATCAATAACAAAAAGAAAACTCTTGGTTTAAAAGTAGATTTGTATTGTAGGAGAAAAGAACCCCCCGAGTGGATGAGGGCAGGTAGTCCAGTTTCTGGACATTTTGGAAGGCAGGTCTATGTTGACAGGGGTGTCCGAAGGCGTCCCAAAAAAAAAGTCTGCAGAGCCTTGGATGAATGAGAGTGCCACAACAATTGGATAGGTCCGGTTTGGGTTTTTTAATTAAATACAATATAACAAAATAAATACAATGTAACCATATACATCCGTCACGTTTTAGGAGTTCACATATCTCCCTTCATCAGGGCTAGTACTGTATGCTGACAACGAATACAAATGTGTACTGGACTTTTTCAGAGAGAATGAACTTGCTAGCAGTTGGGCACCAGTGTGGTAGCCACGCAAGGCATTGGCTTTATACCTTTACATTGTATTTAATAAAAACCCACACTGGACTTATCCGATTATTGTGGCGCCTCCATTCTTTTGATACTCTACAAAAAAGCAAACTTTGTGAACTCCAACTTTTGATACTCATCAAGGTCAACCTGCACCTGTTCCAAGAGATGAATTAGCTGCAAGTAAGGTAATGCTGCAGCTGCTGGAGCAACCCTTCAGGTCACATTTGATGCTGGTTTGTGTTGATCATATTATTTTTTATTGAATTATGAGACCAATGAGCAAAGTGCAGTAACTCAAAGCACCCAACAAGAATGCACCCATTGTCGACCTGTAAACTGATGCTATGGGTGGCTGCATTGTGCTTATCCTCATTGGTCTCTATACTTATTCCCACAACTGTATGATAGAGTTCTATCATGGTCCATAAGATATTATACATTGTAGAAAACAAGTCAGCAGCCATTGTGTTTAAATTAACCAATGGGAAGGTGATTCACAGTTTCTAGTAACTGGTGTTCAATACACATGTGATATAAGCCTTTAGTAATGACCGGATAGGCTGCATTGCCATGACAGCAGCTCTGCGTACTGTGCTGAAAATGGACATAGAACCAATTCAGCATGAATACAGTGAAGTCAGAACTCGGGAATAGCATTTGTTTTGTGTCGGTGACAGATATCAGCGCAGGCGGGGTGAGGATGACAACAGAGGAACTTGTATTTTTAAAAGCCGGTTAACCATGGCCACTTCCATCCTGACAGCCCATATGGAAGAAAAATATATTTGAAATACTACAATTTTGGCCATATTCAATATTGTTCAAAATATATTTCAATAGATACATATATATATATATATATATATATATATATATATATATATATACACACTGCATGTTGGAATGTGTTTTTATTACAAAATATATGAAAATTGCCATATATTTGAAATACTACAATTTTTGCCATATTCCATATATTTTAAAAAAAAATAAAAATATATATATATATATATATATATATATATATATATACATACACACACTGCATGTTTAAATGTGTTTTTATTACAAAGTATATGAAAAATATTTTTAAAAATACATTTCAAATAATACTGTATGTCTTTAAAAATACAAATCTACATTTTTAGAATGCATTTACAAATATATGTAAAAATATATGTTACAATGACTTTTTTATATGTTAAAAAACAATCTGAAGAATATATTTTGAAAAAGTAATTTAAACATATATTTTTACATATATTTGTAAATGCATTCCAAAAATATAGATTTGTATTTTTAAAGACATACAGTATATTTGAAATGTATTTTTAAAAATATTTTTCATATACTTTGTAATAAAAACACATTTAAACATGCAGTGTGTGTGTGTATATATATATATATATATATATATATATATATATATATATATATATATATTAATATATATATTGAATATGGCAAAAATTGTAGTATTTCAAATATATGGCAATATATTTGGGAAGAATATTTTTAAAATATATTTCCAATATATTTTTCTTCCATGTGGGAAGGTCTCTTGAAGCACAGTCTTTAAGGTGATCCTCTGCCTGTGCTTTGGCCATGGAGGTTCACTTTAAAACTGTACCTACAGCATTTTTATACTTACTTTTGCATTGCTCCCCTATGCTAGGAGCGAGAAGGAAAAGCCCTGTATAAGCCTGAGTGCACATCCATGTTTGCAGAGCATTAAGACAACCCATTGATATTAATGGGCTGCCCTTGATATGGCAAAAAATGGGAATAACCCTTGATTTGCACCACAATACGGGTGCATTGAGGAGCCATTCCAAATGAGTTCCACTACAATGCATGTAACGTGTTGATGTATGTTACTGCAACATGGAGGTGTAGATGGGCTCTTAAGTCATTACTAGCTTATATAGGGTTGAGGACTCCTTTATCACCATATGTGATGGCACTGGGTGCCTGAATGGCCAATCAGGAAGCGTCAGCTATGTTACATTCTCTCCCATAACCCAAAAACTGGATATTCCTCTGTTTCCAGGTAGTGAATGAATTAATGAAGGAGTAAAGTGAAAGTGGGTATAAGAGGGAGGGGAGCTGGGCATTAGAGTGAGCCTGTAGGCTAAATTTCGAGAACAAAATGGCCGACTCAGCTTCACTTATCAGGATGTTTGAATAAAGAGTGGTGTGATTGTGATATCATAGCAGTTTGCTCTCCTTTTTCCTTACATCTATTAGAACAGCCATTCTCAAACAGGGTTCAGTGGAGTCCCAGGGCTCCTCCAGAGGTTGCTAGAAGTTCATTAATTGACCTCCCATCTGAGGATGCCTGGATAGTTCTTGGGCAGACACCACTTGATCTTGGTAAAGCCAACTTTAAGACACCAATATTTTTAGCTGACTGTAATGGATGCATTCCTCTCACTGATCCCCAACGTAAGGGGCATTCTTTCCACTGACCCTCCAATGAGTTTATTTTAGCAGGAGTTCCCTGAGACTTAAAAATTATTTTAGACGTTCCTCTGGGGTATAAAAGTTGAAAATGGTTGCATTAGACACTGAGAATCTCATTGGTTACAATGGGCAACACAGAGAGGCGGAATGTATGCTGCGATGGAGACTGATGTCAAAGTATAAAAGTTTCATCAACCTAGATTTCAGAGGGTGGGGGTAGAAATAAGAAGGTGGAAGCTCCGCACACTGGAACCCTACCACTATACAGGAAGGTGAAGATATGGCTTCAGCCTAAGCTCCTTGGGATTACACCCCCCACCGGCATGTTTTGTCCCACCCATGACTCTAAACCTAGTGAAACTAAGTGATAGTATGCAGTCTACAGGTTTGAGGTCTGAAGGCACAGGTGTTTGTTGGGTGCAAATCAAAGGCTTGTGCTGATCAGATGTAACCATCCACACAAGTGGTTAAATGCAATTGGCACCCCTGACCAAGCCTGGACACAGATGGTTTGCATTAAAAGTCATGGGCTGTGACCGTATAGAAGCTGCTAAGCCCCAGCACTGACAGCAATGAGTGGGGTAGTGTAGAGTCTTGTGGAAGGAGGCTCAGCTTATGACATTGCACACAGGCCCATTGCACTCAAAAGACCCCTGTACTGCTTTTAAAGATCAACCTGACTGGCTGCAATGGGCCAAAAAAAGGTGTGTATGAGGCACTGTAATTGGATTCCCTGTCCATTGATGAAGGAGCATTAGTTTGGCTTGATGACCTAAAAAGGGGGAATGGCTTCCACAGAGGAGTTGACAAAAAAGTGCCATCCAGGCATTGCCCATTTTTACCTATTTTTCTTGGTTGCAATGAGTAACATGTTTCTTCTTTTCCACTTGTCAACTGGTCTTCATGAAATATGGCAATTCACCAAGTTTATCCTGTGTGACGCAGAATATTGAGCTCTACTAAGAGGAAAGGAGAAGTAAACTGCTATGACATCATGGTCACATGGCTTTTTATTCAGACAACCTGGGGCCATTTTGTTCTTGAAATGCAGCCAACAGATTCAGTAGCAACCAGACGCTACATTTCATGGCTTGGTCAAGCTGATCTATACACAAAATGGCTGCCGAGTGGTGGCTGCACATATTGGCGTATTCCTAGTGTATATTGGGATGAAGAGGTTGCAAAACACACTGTTTTCCCCCTATATATCCATATAGTTATATATTTATATATATTTGTACATTTATATATAGTTTCTGTGCAGCCTGACCCCTCCAGGCCTAGCTTTTTGGAGCAGCCGGTTTTTCTGGTGGGGTTTTGGAGACGGTTGCTGGTTTTCAGTCGTTCTTCCTCTGTTTTGCCTCTTCCGACAGAAGACCCGGGGCAGGGAGGGCTGTATGTACACCCGTCCGCCTCTGAACTACAGTCACTCACGTCTGTGATTTCCAAGTCTGAGTCAGATTCTGGTTCCTGTTTTCCTTCAGGCGGGTCGGCTCTGTCTCTTCTCGCTGCCCCCGCACCCACCAAGTCTCCACTCCGGGGTATAGGGTGAGAATTTAGACCAGTGCAGAGCCTTGGTGGCACTCCTGGAAGGAGGCTGGCCGACCTGTCCATGGACTCACCAGGGAGCAGTGAGATGGGGGGAGGAAGCTGGGACAGTGAGGTGGGGTAGAACTGTGGGGGATAGAGGGAGGTAGGCAGCTTGGAGCCGCTAAGGGGGAAAGAGCTGGAGAGGTAGGGATTAAATCCCCATGGGTACTCAGGAAATGGTGAGTTACGGTTGTATGGGGGCAACAAGGTCGGAGCCTTTGTGTAAGCAGAACCTGGAGAAGACAAAGGGGTAAAATAAATCAGTCAAATGAATAATTCGCAACCAACCTCACATTTCTTTGTTTTGTTTTTTGGGGGTTTTTTTTTTTTTAATTTGTTAAAGCAAAACCCAAGCCAAACTGCTTTAAGTGTAACTTCAGCCAAAATGTCTTTGATATCACACACCTATGTGCGGTGCCTTGTGATGCCGTTCAGTGTGAATGTCATCCCAATGCATTGTAAGATAGAGCCCTATGTACTGCAAATAGCATGTGTTACAGTTTTATCAAAGGGTCATGTACATTTTTTCACCTATTGTGTTGCATTGATAGAGTATTCATAATGGATTAGCTGCCCTAAAGAAACATACATTAACATGTGCCACAACACGCATTAACATGTGGGCATTAGGGCACCACAACTGAAAGCTTAGGTGTGAATAGGACTTTGATGTTTCTAGATAATGTCAGCTTAAATCTGATAAGATAAGAATAAAGTACCCAATCAGATTTCCCCTATCATTGTCTAACCCCAGCTACTACAAAGAAAGGGAGAATCTCATGGGTGGTTTTTTCATACCCAAGGTCATACAAAGTTTTTAAAGCTTGTTTAGGACTCACCTGATCCCAAGAAAGGGAAAGCAGCTTCCAGGCACAATTTTTCTGTGTCTGGTGCCGAAAGGGGACGATCCAAGAGTGGTGGACGACTGGAGGCTGAGAAAAGGGACTGCAGAGCCTACAAAACATACACCCAATCCATCAGTATCTAAATAGGTTGAATGGAGAAGTTCTTCAAAAACAGCCTAAACCTCTGGCACACTGCATTGTTCTGAACAGTAGCATTACTCTCAAGATTTGCTATGAACAGTTGACTTGTCTTTATATGGCCAAATTGACCAGTAACTGTTGAAGTGAACTTGCCATGTCCACCAAAGTATGTAACTAAGATTACAGGCAAACTGTGTTCCTTGAGCTTCGGTAGGACCTAGGTCTAAGGTATCCTTTCTCAAAATGTTGAACATGGAGGAACCCTTGAAATAACTTTTGGCCTCAGGAAACCCCTGCTAATAATTATAATACCTACAGCTCACAGGACATTAGTGTAATGGCCAAAAGGAAGAATGTTTCTTACATTTGTAGTCAGCATTAAGAATCCCCACACAGATAGTAAAAAGACCATTGGTGTCAGTGTCTCAGTATCTGAGAAGCAGAAATTGTTCATTTCCCAAGGAACTCCTTGCACCCTTTGAAAGAAGACTGGTTGAGAAAAGATGATCTAGACGTCTCATCAAGCTGAGATAAAGTCCCTCCAAGCCCTACACTTCACCCCTCATGTGTTAACTTGCAGATCTAGTTCTCCCAATTATTAAGACTTTGGCATGACATGGGGTATTAAGGGCTTAATACACTGAAGCAATCTTCCTCTTTCTGAAGACCATCCTCCCATTTTGTCCCATATCCCTCATGTCTCATGGGAACGCCAACCAGGCACCACACATCTTTTTTACATTTTCTTTGGGAATGTTGGCAATTATGTTGAAAAACTTAGTCCGAAATAATATCTTTAAACCTTAGCGAGGGCCCTGGATCCTAGACCCCGGTGGTAGGTAGGTGTAGTCTCATTTACCACCGGGGTCTAGGATTCAGGGCCCTCACTAAAGTTTAATGATATTATTTGGACTAATCTGAAATTTAATTCCCTTCATGCACTCTACTAGTAATGTAATTTCAAAATTAGTACCTCATAAGGTTTATAGAGCCACTCACTGTGTTTGAAGAGCTTACAACTTACTATCCTGACCACTAGAGATGAGCAAATTTCTCAAAAATTCGATTCGGCTGATTTCGGCGAATTCCAGTATGAAATTCGATTTGATGCGAATTAATTCGCTACAAATTTAACTTATTAAAAGGGTTTCTAGGCTTCAGAGAGCCTTTAAATTAGTGCAGAACACTGTACCTTTAATTTAAATGCCCTTGGAGATGAAAACAAATGGAAACAAATAGATACAATGTTTCAACCGCTGTATGAGTGAGTGTCCCAGAACTGTCATAAATAGTCTATTTCTGACAGTTATGGGACATTCACTCCATACAGCGGTTTCAACCGCTGTATGGAGGGAATGTCATAGAACTGTCAGAAATAGACTATTTCTGACAGTTCTGGGACACTCACTCCATACAGCGGTTGAAACATTGTATCTATTTGTTTCCATAAATGGATCCATTTATGGAAACAAATAGATACAATGTTTCAACCGCTGTATGGAAGGAATGTCCCAGAACTGTCATAAATAGTCTATTTCTGACAGTTATGGAACATTCACTCCATACAGCGGTTGAAACATTGTATCTATTTTTTTCCATAAATGACATTCTGCAGATACACTTAGAGGAGCGCTGCAGATACACTTTTTGCCGGCTTGGAATTATTCTTATTTTCATCCTACTTTTCTTTCTTCATCTTCTTCATCCTCATCCTCTCTTCTTCTTCTTATGAGGATGAGGATGAAGAAGAAGAAGAATGAAGAAGAATTGAAAATAAGATTAATTCCAAGCTGGCAAAAAGTGTATCTGCAGCGCTCCTCTAAGTGTATTTGCAGAATGTCATTTATGGAAAAAAATAGATACAATGTTTCAACCGCTGTATGGAGTGAATGTCCCAGAACTGTCAGAAATAGTCTATTTCTGACAGTTATGGGACATTCACTCCATACAGCGGTTTCAACCGCTGTATGGAGGGAATGTCATAGAACTGTCAGAAATAGACTATTTCTAACAGTTCTGGGACATTCCTTAAATAAGATTAATTCCAAGCCGGCAAAAAGTGTATGTGCAGAGCTCCTCTAAGTGTATGTGCAGAGCTCCTCTAAGTGTATCTGCAGAATAGAGGAACTCTGCACATACACTTTTTGCCGGCTTGGAATTATTCTTATTTTCATCCTACTTCTTCTTTCATCTTCATCTCTTCTTCTTCTTCTGAGGATGAAGGATGAGGAGAAGAAAGAGAAGAAGAAGTAGGATGAAAATAAGAATAATTCCAAGCCGGCAAAAAGTGTATGTGCAGAGTTCCTCTATTTCTGACAGTTCTCTGACAGCTTCTTCACATGTACAGCGGTTGAAACATCTGTATCCTAAATGGAAACTAATAGATACAATGTTTCAACCGCTAAACATGTGTTCCTTCTGTCAGAGAACTGTCAGAAATAGCGGAGCTCACTGCAGGGACACTTTTGCCGGCTGATCGGGAAATATTCGATTCGCGCACCCGAAGTAGGCAAAATTTCGGATTCGACGCGAATCGAATATTTCCTGAAATTCGACTCGAATTCCGGTTCGCCTGGTTCGATTCGCTCATCTCTACTGACCACAGTCACTCACAGATTGTAGGTAAAATTGAAGTAGACACCAATGAACCTAACATGTTTTTGACTGTTAGCCTTAACCAGAACACCTGAAGGAAACTCACATCAACCCCAGTTGGATTTATGGTATATAATCTAAGCAACTGGAGAGATATGCTGCCCTCTACTGTATTTGTAATGTCTGTGTTTTTTACTGCTGTACGGTTATTTGTGTACATCATTTCTTGTCCTTGCAGCTGGGTCAGAAACCCCAGACTGAAAGACTTTGATATCATTATAAAGGGGAGTTTCCAAGAAGTAAACACAGAGAGCTGAGCCTCATGACCTTATACACAAAGGTACTGCTGTGTTTTCACCCAGACCAGAAGCAGAGACTATTAGGCAAGTATTCTAAAGGTTTTTTTTTTTTATTAAAAAAAAATGCATGTCTATACTTACCTGCTGTTTGCAGTGGTTTTGCATAGAGCAGCCTGGATCCTCCTAATCTTGGGTCCCCCGCAGGTTCTCCTGGCCCCTCCCTCCAGTCAGGTGCGCCCACAGCAAACACCTTGCTTCACACACAGAGCTGCAACCCTCTCTCTTCTCATTGGCTCACTGACTGTGATTGACAGCAGTGGGAGCCAATGGCTCCCACTTCTGTCACAGTCAATGAGAAGAGGGAGTCCCGAGATAGCTAAGACTCCAGTGCACATCGCTGGATCGAGAGGGGGCTTAGGTGAGTATTAGGGTGGGCTGAGGGAATACTGCACACAGAAGGTTTTTTACCTTCATACATAGAATGCATGAAGGTAAAAAACCTTGAGCCTTTAGAATTACTTTAAACTGCAGCTGCCCATAGTTTTTTGGAGTGTGCAATAGAGTGGAAATAGAGTTTATAGGCAGCTCCTGATATTTTAGTTAACACTGTCCCTTCTGACCTGGGATTCTATAGCTAGTTTTATGTCATGCCTCAATAACCAACATAGGCTAGAGCCAGGTTAGACATCTGACTAGACACTTCTGGTAGTCAGAAGTTTGGTTGCATGTGAGATTAGAAACTACTAGGGACTAAAGAGAAGAGTGAGTTCCAGTGCCATACTATGGTTTTTGCGTGTGAGAAGCTGCTTTCCAGGCTGGTTGGACAATGGTTGGAGGATCTCCCCAACATCACTAAACATGTCTTCAGGTCTCCAACACCAAGATGGATACCGCATCACGATCATTTTCGGGGGTCCTGCAACTGGACTTTGCTTTAGCATTTATCTGGAGGTATCTCTATCATTAACTATATATATATATATATATATATATATATATATATATATATATATATATATAAACCCGGGTATATATGCAGAATTCAACCGGGACTCCCTTTGCTGATAAGACGTTTGTACATTAGATGTATGCATTATTATTAATCTTTTCTTATATAAAGCTTGTATTATTTCCATACTGGTGTGCATTAGTGTTGCTCTGACAGGTTAACATAAAGTCTTGAATCTGAAGATCTTGTCCAAGGGTGTAGTCGAATCCCTCTGGGTCCAACAACATCTTGTCATTATTAACACCTTTCAACCCATTAAGATTAAAAGACCTGGGGGGCTGCTCTACGTAATAAGCACATCATCATTATCATGCTTCTAATGAAGACGTGAGATGGCAAATATAGTCACATATATATATGAATATGACTCCTCCCCTTTCTCTTAGTTCCAATTAGAGAGAGACAGTATGAAAGCAATTGGCTTCATTAGATGGCCCAGAATGCTCTGCGGACCATGGTTTATGAGTACGCTCTGTATTGAATGTCCATTTGTAAAAACAATGATGTACTGTATATTAATAATAAACATAAAAATACAAACAAAAAAATATACATTTTCAACATATAATAAAACTGACCCCAAACCATTGTGCTCCCCTTTTAAGGTGTAGGTCCAGTGAAAACATTTTTTATTAGTTTTGGATGGAGTGAGGAAGTATAGGAAACCCCTTTATGGGTTTTACTGCTTTGCAGACCTCCATTAGAGATTTACCCTCATTTCCAGTCCAGTTTCACGAGACGGGAAAAAATCTGAAACACTAAAAAAAAAGGGTAGTAGGTGGAGACTATAATGTCTGTCAGCTTTTTATTGCCTGTTGTAAACCGCTCCTCACTTCCTGTCTGGTGAAACCGTTGTCACCAAGACAGGAAGTGAGGGTAAATGTATCTGACAGTAGTAGGAAAACCAAACAAAAGTTCTAACCCTTCTTCATTTTATCTAAAGCTAAGAGGAAAAAAGTTTTGGCTGGGCCTACACTTGACTCACGTGGTGACCATCTTGTGCCTCTTACCTCAGGAGTGAATGGATCATGAGCATGGGTCCCGGGGAAGGGGCCCTGCCCCAGCAGCAGTGAGGAGTTTGCCATGTCCAGCAGAGGATAGTTCACCAATACGACTTTACTGAAGTTAAACTTGTAGGTGAAACGTTTTCCTTTAGTTTTGTGCAGAATTCTCTTGTTGTAATAGTACCTACGGCAAGAACAGGTCAGTCAATCACAAGCAACCTGTAAGAAATCAACTAAATGTACGTTACATTACTGCTAACCCATATGGAAGAAAAATATATTTGAAATATATTTTTAAAATATTCTTCCCAAATATTTTGACATATATTTGAATTGCTACAATTTTGGCCATATTCAATATATTTCAAAATATATTTCAATAAATATATATATATATACTGTATGTTGAAATGTGTTTTTATTACAAAATATATGAAAAATATTTTTAAAAATGCATTTCGAATATACTACATGTCTTTAAAAATACAAATCGAAATGTTTTTAATGTATTTACAAATATATGTAAAAAATATATGTTAAAATGACTTTTTTATGTTAAAAAAAATCTGAAGAATATATTTTAAAAATATATATTTTAAAAAATATGTTTTTTTTTTATATATTCTTCAGATTTTTTGTAACATATAAAAAAGTCATTTTAACATATATTTTTGTATGTACTTGTAAATGCATTCCAAAAATGTAGATTTGTAATTTTAAAGACGTACAGTATATTTGAAATGCATTTTTAAAAATATTTTTCATATATTTTTATAATAAAAACGCATTTCAACATACAGTATATATATATTGAATATGGCCAAAATTGTAGCATTTCAAATATATGTCAATATATTTGGGAAGAATTTTTTAAAACATATTTCAAATATATTTTTCTTCCCTTTGGGAATATTGGAAACGCTGCAACTGTCCACCCCAAATCTCTGTCTCAGTTATGGGAGGAATCTTGTGCTCACCTACTGCCTTCTCATGCCTTCTCACGTCATTAGAAACTCCAGTTAAGGGATCTTGGTGCACTTTTTATGGCCATTTCAGCATTTCAGTTGCTGTAGCTCAGCTTTCAGGGTTCCCACTCTGCCTAATGCATTCTTCACACATTAAGAATCCAACAGGCACAGTGGGACCGCCTTGTAATTAGCTGCGCCAAGTTGGCTTGATGTATAAATTAACCGTCGGAGTCCCTAATAATAAGAGATAAGATATAACACTTCAACATCTACCAACAACTGAAATATTCATTTAAAGCCAACCAAAAGGAACACAATAAAATAACAAAACCAGCTTGCAGTACTCACTTTTACCCCAGTGTTTCCCCGCCCCGTAGTACTTTTTACTGCCACTAGATGTCCTCAATCTGACAGCCAGCATCTTTCAAGCCAATTCTTCTGAGCCCAGATCATCCTGGAGCCCACCCCCAGCCTGTGACCAGACAGTGGTGAGCTTGTCTCTCTGTCACCCTGCTTTCCCCTCCTATTAGCATGCTCTTTGAGCTGATTGGCTCCTTGTGCTGCTTCTTCTTCTCACACTCTGGTTCTGCCATACAGGGGCTGCAAAATTCTGCAGTTTTATAAAAGAATCAAGGACTTCTTCTCCATGTTTATCATGCATAGGAGAGCCCACTGAGTTGAATGGGCTTCCACACATGCGACACATTGAAACGCGTAGAAACGCATCCGTGCTTGGTTGCAGCTGTATGGTGTGAACTGAGCATCAGAAGATGGTGAAAAGAGGTGAGGTGACACTGCCACCTCTTAATGTCTGGATTACTTGGGCTTTTTTTTTTATTGCCAAATGATAACAGTAGATAAATATATAGCAGCGGCTGTGCAGATGCGTCAGCTCACCGCAGCTCCTGCTCACCATCCACAGTACATAAAAATATATAGCAGCCGCTGTGCAGATTCGTCAGCTCACCGACAGCTCCTGCTCGCCATCCACAGTAGATAAATATATAGCAGCCGCTGTGCAGACGCGTCAGCTCACTGGCAGCTCCTGCTCACCATCCACAGTAGATAAATATATAGCAGCCGCTGTGCAGATGCGTCAGCTCACCGACAGCTCCTGCTCGCCACCCACAGTAGATAAATATATAGCAGCCGCTGTGCAGAGGCGTCAGCTCACCGGCAGCTCCTGCTCGCCACCCACAGTAGATAAATATATAGCAGCCGCTGTGCAGATGCGTCAGCTCACTGGCAGCTCCTGCTCTCCATCCACAGTAGATAAATATATAGCAGCGGCTGTTCAGACACGTCAGTTCACCGACAGCTCCTGCTCGCCATCCACAGTAGATAAATATATAGAAGCTGCTGTGCAGATGCGTCAGCTCACTGACAGCTCCTGCTCGCCATCCACAGTAGATAAATATATAGCAGCGGCTGTGCAGATGCGTCAGCTCACTGACAGCTCCTGCTCACCATCCACAGTAGATACAGTAAATATATAGCAGCTGCTGTGCAGATTCGTCAGCTCACCGACAGCTCCTGCTCACCATCCACAGTAGATAAACATATAGCAGCGGCATGCTTCTTCAGAACCCAAGAGCTTTATATGTCACAGTTAAATAACTTAGTGGATCCCAATGCTAACGTGTTTCCACCCAGAACAGGCCTTAATCATAGCTATAACTAAGGCCAGTTTTGGGAAGAAACACGTTAGCATTAGGAGCTGCTATATTTATTGACTGCAGCAATGTGTATGCACCCAAGTGACACCATGTCCACTTGTAGGTGAGTGGTTGGGGGGGCAGTAAAAAACGTGGATCAACCGCCTGGTTTTACCACGCATTGGCTACCTGTGTAAAAGAGCCTTAATAAATTCCAGGGAGAATTTTCTGGGATTATGGTCCCTTTAATAAAATCAGTTTCTGCATCGTTATAGTCCATTGACATTGGACTTGAAGGCCAAATCAAAAATGTTTCCGTTCAACTTAATTCGGGGCATCAAATTCTGCTTAATAAACCTAAAATTCAGTTACAATGAACGCAGAGGTTTGTTCATACAGGGAGCCGATGGGATGAAATCATGAATCTGATATCCTCACCTATAGCACATACTGTAAAAGAACATTTTGTTTTTTTTTTATACAATGCTGTCAGACATACCTACCCCTACCCAGCATCTCTCCTCTCCAGAGAGCCCGGCTTGTATTGGTAGGGCAAACATATCACCCAAGTGTTAGGCAAGAAAAGATTTTTGAAATTAAATGTCAAAAGTGATTTTTCGGCCAAGGGATGAGGTTTCCCCTCCCTGTTTCACCCACACGCTCCGCAGGGACCGGCGAGTCTCAAACCATGTAAGAACGTCGCAGGCTCGCCAAACACAGCTGAACTCCCAGGTAGATTGTTTAGATTTAAATCTTCGGATATTCGGAGGAGGCGAGACTTTTCTCAGATCCCCAATTCTATGACTACATGCCAATTCCCTTTAGGAGGAAATATGCTGCTTTTGGTTTTTTTTTTTTTTTTTTTTTACATTGATACGTTTTTTAAAACTGACGTTATATTATATGTACGCAACCTTGGGCATGGGGGGTTATCAAATGCAGAAGCAGCTTGCTTTTATGCTTGCTTTGTCTGATTGAAATGTATTTTGAGTTATTATTTAGAGATGTGCATGACGGAAAAATGTGTTCAGTTTTGTTAAGTTAATATTTAATTTTGTCATATTTGTTATTTTAGAACAGGGGTCTTCAAACTTTCTAAACAAAGGGCTGGTTTACTGTCCTTCAATCTTTAGGGGGGCCTGACTGTGGCCAGAAGGAGTAGAAAAAGTGCTGGTGTCAGTGGCAGTAAAAAAATGCCCCATGACTGGTGGCAGTGGCAGGAATAGTGCCTCATTATTGGTGTCAGTGGGAGGAATAGTGCCCCATCATTGGTATCAGTGGGAGGAATAGTACCCCATCATTGGTATCAGTGGGATGAATAGTGTCCCATCATTGGTGTCAGTGGATGAATAGGAATAGAATGCCCCATCGTTGGTGTCAGTGGGAGAAATAGTGCCCCATCGTTGGTGTCAGTGGGAAGAATAGTGGCCCATCATTGGTGTCAGTGGGAGGAATAGTGCCCCATCATTGGTGTCAGTGGGAGGAATAGTGCTCCATCATTGGTGTCAGTGGGAGGAATAGTGCCCCATTGTTGTTGTCAGTGGCAGGAACTATGCCCCACTGTTGCTGACAGTGAGGGAATAATGCCCAAAGAGCAGAATAAAATGAAGCAGAGGGCCACATCTGGCCCTCGGGCTGCAATTTGCAGACCACTGTGTTAAACTGATTAATTTTTGGAATTTGTTTCCTATATTCAGATTTGTTTTGTACTTCAATTCGAAATTTGAATTTCAGAAGATGACTATGTTCGTTTTATTCTGTTGTATTTTAATCTATTCTATTTTTTTTATTCTATTCTGTTCTTTCATTTTCTATTCTATTCTGTTATTTTCTATTTGATTCTTTCATTTTCTATTCTATTCTTTCATTTTCTATTGTATACTGTTATTTTCTATTTGATTCTTTCATTTTCTATTCTATTATTTTATTTTTTATTCTATTATTTTCTGTTCTGTTCTAGTCTTTTATTTCCTGTTCTATTCTGTTCTATTCTACAGTATTCCATCTCTTTATTTTCTATTCTATTTTATTCTGTTATATTATATTCTATTTTTTCTATTATATTCCTTTATATCCTATTCTATTCCTTTATTTTATTTTCTATTTCATTCTATGCTAGTTTTTTTTATTCTATTCTATTCCTGTAAATTCTATTCTATTCTGTTTTATTCTATTATTTTCTAATCTATTCTTTTCTATTATAGTCTATTCTGTGACTTACTATTCTATTTTGTTCTATTATAGTCTTTTATATTCTTTTTATTCTTATCAGCATCATCTTATTTCACTTTTATACCTTACTGTATTTATTGCAATATTTTTTCATTCCAATTCATTTTTGAATTCAAATTTCAATAATTATAGATTCTTTTGGATTAATTGAAATTCGTCACTATTGTGATTCAAAAATTCAGATACATCCGAATTTACAAATAATGAAAATTTTGTCCGCATTTTGATTTGTAACTAAACAAATTGCTCATGTCTATTATTATTGTAGTGGTGATCATAATGCCATTTTTGATGCAACTGTCATATGTTCGTATGCCTTCATATACAGT